CCACATTGATGCCTGAAACCACCTCAATGTAGTACAGTAGGTAATTGTGCTATACATGGATGGTCTGGGATATGTACTACCGATGTACGTTGACCAAGGCCTGTTCAACGCAGCTGTTGCTTTTCTACATATTATAACCTAACTCTGCCATCATGTGCGTAGCTGGCCAGATTGGGTTGCATCTTGTTGATTTGGAATCAGCGTGTCTCGAAACAAGAGAACCGCTGATGGTATCACTTGTTGAAAGACTACGGAACCCTCCAAATGGTGTCTTCGGTTTCAAACCATGCGCCGGTTCTTTCAGGATCGAGAGAAGATGTTCGTGGAAGTGAAGCCACGGACCGGGCGGACGCACCAGAGTCCTGGCCAGTTTGGTGCTGACAAGTGTTGGATATATAATACATGGATCAGAATGTCTCCATGTTTTTGGAGGAGAACTCGCAGGTTTGTGTTCGACTTGCATGGTTGCATCATGTTGCATCGACATTCACCAAGCTAGACTATTTCTGTCAAAGATCAGAACCATTTGTTTTGCCGCTTGCCAACTCCCAGGATTCGTGTGCACTTGGCCTCGGAACACACGCCCATCCTTGGGGACGAGACCTATGGCTGGCAGCACATCAATCGAAGAGCAGATGTGCAAAGGCCCATGCTGCATGCATATGAACTCTCCTTGAAACTGGTCTCCAAGATCTGGCAGATCTTTTTGAGTTTTTTCGAGACAGCTTGGCTGTTTTGATTGATTCTGAAGCGATCTTGATTGTTTTGCCCTTTTCAAAGGCCAGCGGCTCATTCAACTCAGCAGCTCCGTTGTGTTTTGTCAGTTCCTGAAGAGATCTTCCGAAAAGACAGACAAAGGGGACTGGCACATTTACCTACATTCCCCCCCTTTCAACCACTCCAGTATATGTTGGATAGATGAACCGGAACTCTGTTTCAGAATCGGCCTGTTGAGGAACCATCCCAGCACTGGCGAAACGATGACCTTTCGAGCACCTTTGCCGGAGGATATGAGGAGCACCAAGCACTCGAGCGAGCACCGTCGGTTTCCTGGGTGGGTTTCCTTATTTGCTATGGAACGAACCTCGGTGAATCATAGGTTCCATCCATTGTGGGACAGAGGTTCGAGGGATCAACAGCGCTGTCGAAAACACACCAAAGGTTTTTGGCCTCACAGTAGACTGGGGCATGTAGAAGCAAAACCCGGAAGCATTCCTTAGATGTTCGGCGCGACCCGGAAAACTCTACCCGTCCCAGCTCCAATGCCACAAAGACCATCTACTTCTTGCAGGAAGATGATGAGTTACATGGAAGCAGAACCTGGGGAAGAAGAGCTGATGCGAGAGCTGTTAGGGGAAAAAAGCAGCGTTTTCGTGCCAATTGGGGTGCTCCGCGATAATCTGATTTCGAATTCATTCAGCAATCCACTGGATGGATATACCCATGGAAAAAACACAAAGAGTCATGTATGGCGATGTATGGTATGTTTGACTGCAGTGACAGTTGAAGCACCCTGAAAAAGGATTTTTGGCAATTGGCAAACGGCAAATAGCATCAAATAGCCAGAGATATTCCATGTACAGATGATTGTTTTTTCAACAAACAGTTCACACATGTTCACGGAAACTGCCAGAACCCGTGTGAACCTCAACCTCCGCGTTGTTTGACTCAATGTTGACACAATCTGGTTGTGTTGAAGCATGGTCCAGATGGTTCCAGGGGAAGTGCCCACTTTGGCCAATCAACACCATTTGCACTGGAAGGAGACAGCAAGAGATTCCATAGGTATCCAGTTACAGTAGATTTCCTAGAGATCCCTAGAGATCCAAGTACCTTCTCAGAAGGTGATTGGAGACACTGTTCTGTAGGCTTGGAGGGATTAAAGGAGTTTACCATTACATGTTTGTACGCCTGTGTTTCATTCATGGCGTAAGCCAACGCTCTTTCCTAGTCGCATTGTTCTGCCAGGGATCGATGGAGCCCTTCCGCTGCTTCGGCGCCTTGGTCAGCGCTGCTGCTTACGCTGCGTCAGGCGCTCGGGTCAACGGGTCGCTCATAGGTTGGTTTGGAGGTTAGAGGGATTGAAAGGATCTCACAGATTTATATGCTACAATCCTGGAACCCCAGTCCCAACCAGAAACAAATGGATGTTCCAAATTGTTCCAATATAGCTTGCTTGGGATCCTTGACGCAAGTGGCAAGCGGCGGTGAGGTGGTTTTTGAATTGGCCGCTGGGCCGCTGGCCAGTCACTGAACCTCAGCACATGACGTGGCTTCACCAATTGAAGGACATTTCGTCCCACGACACACCATGACCACGACCATGCTTTGGTCTTTCCATTTCGAAGCCTGACAGGGTCGTCCAGTTGAATGGACCGACCCGGATATCGCTCGTCGCGTCGCGTCGTTCGCCGTTCGATGAGCCAGGGCACGGCATAGCGATGCCGTGGCGAAGAGCACGACGCGCAGGTGGCTCGGAGAGCTCGGAAGGGACTTTTGCTTTAAAATAGGCAGGGATCATGGCCCCTAAAGGATGACCATTTTCAGAATACACAGGTGGTGCCATCCGCTTCCATGATCACTTCCAACCACCATTGATTTACTAGCATTTTATCACTATAAAGCCAGGTCAATTATGTTTAAAATGATCTTGGAAGGCAGGGCCTGGGGCCGGTAAATATGTCAAGGAGTGTAAAAGGGAGTCAAGTTTTAAAAGGGGAAATCATTCAAGTCCAGTCCCGTGTCCTCGACAAGCGTCAGAATTCCGGACAATCTGGGTGTCGGGCTCATCTTCGGGTCTTTCGACCTGGTTTTCACACCCCTTGCCTCATGGGGCGGATCCCATCATCTTAGCCATGTCAATTCCGGTTTTCAGACCCTTCCGTCGTTGCAGGGCACGGACAGCTCGCTCGGAACGGCCGAACCCTCGCGTTCACCGCGTTGCGTTCACCGCTGTCCTCTCGCTTTTGTCGTGTGTCCCGGCTGTGTGTCCCGCCGGCGGGTCATGTGGGTTGACCGGGACCTTGGGAGTCTCATGGGTCACGGTGAAAAAAAGGGGGACAAACACTGGACTCGAAAAAACACCGTGCAACTGGACTCTCAAACACTGGACTCTCAAATCTGGTTGCCAGGATCTGGTCCCAGTTCTTGGTTTTTTGATGCTCGTTTTCAGAAGGCTTTTGGCTCTCAAGTGGAGGTTTAGGTGGGGTGTTTCTCGACCCCGTGGAAGAAGGACAATAAATAGACTGGGTCTACCCATTGATTGAGGGATATTGAGGGTCTCCCTATTCAAAAACACACCCATATTATAGCTTTTAGATATGAATCCTATGATATCCTCAGAGGTTCTGGTTGGACCCATCAATTGCTTTTGGGCGCCAAACAAAATCATGTTCAATACCCCTTGAATATGTCACTATACAATGGTTATCATTGGCTTTCATGTTCTTTTGTAAAATGGAAAACCTCAGCCCAAGCAGATATTCAACCGGTATCATTTTCTTGAAAAGAAGATTGCAGGGCCGCTGAACGGGCCCCCGACCTCGGCATCAGTCTGCCCGGCTCCGTTTTTTCAGAGCGAGAGGGAGTCGTTGAGTCCATGAAGAAGGTGAGCTGTTTGTGTGAGCTGTTTGGGGGTTGGGGGGCATACAATCAATACGAAGACAATTCGTTTTTTTCTTGTTTGCAACAAGTTGCCAGTGCTCCTAAAGAGAGCCACCCAGATTGTTGGCGTTCCTTCTTCCATTTCAGAAGATTCAGCCAGGCACCGAGCAGCCTTCCGCCAACCAGGTCGTGGAGGCTTCCTTCGTCCGAAAGGGTCCGGAGAAGTGGAAAAGGGAGCATGTTAGTGTTGATCATTCTCAATTCAACCTGCCATGAGTGTGTATTATGTTTGAATAGGGAGACCCCAAAAAAGGGTCCGTTGGGAAGATCAAACACAGACAAAATCCATTGGTTGGGAGGCCCCTAGTAACAAATCCATATTGAAGGAAACACAACAATACCTTTGTCATTGGTACAAGATTGTTAGTATGGTTTTTGACATGAAGAAGACATCAGAAAAGAACAAAAACAGACGCCTTGAAGGACCCGGATGTGTTTGCATCCCAACATATGACCCAAACCACTGGAATGGACAACATACTTGAGAAATCTCTCATTGATGAAGGATGCATTTCTTATACAGTTCAAAGAGATTGTATCATCCATACCTTCAACGTGTTTCTGAGCTGTCGGGAGCGTTGGGAGCTTTGACCTTGCCGTGGCATGCCGGGCCTGGTCCTGGCGAACATCAGCCTGCAAACTGCTTGCTCCAGGATCTATATTATCTATTCCACAGATGGATCCATTCCAAGAAACACAGAGAGCCTAAGAAAAACTAGGACACCTTGCGCTTCGCCAAAATTGAAAACCCTCATTCGGGAGTGTTGTGCAAAATCATCCGTTTCAAGAAATGCCGTTTTGGCGTCCTGCCGTTTAGGTGCTTGGCCAGCAAGACCTGGAGTCGTTTCCTCGTCTACAGCGCCCTTTTGTGGACAGGAGTGGCAGTTGCTTGCACGCTCTTCCCAGCTGAGCAATGCAAACAGCCATGCAGTTTAGCAGGATGACAAGAACTGCTCAGAGGGAATTCTTGGGATTAGAACTAGTATGACATAGCAATGCAACACCTCTCAGGGCTTTCGTCTCAGGGCAGTGACTTGTGAGTGAAGTGCAGATTCCACAATTTCAGTCAAACCCTCGTCACTTGCTTGGAGAGAGTGTACTCACATTCATTTGTCAGGGGCAGAGGCCTGTTGATTGCTGCTCTATCAACCAGCTAGATCAAGGAAGTGCTCGTTTGCAAAGAACTTTCCGGGAGATTGTTCCCAAAAGCTTGCATTTTCAATAATAGAAGATAATCCCCAAAGACATGCGGAACTGGCAAACAGCAGTTGTCCTCTGAGACAGACCCAAACGATTCAACTTCATCCCGTCTGGCGCCATTCGACAGGACTTGGTTGATGGCGAAGGCCGGAAACGGAGGAAATCCTGCGCCCAATGCCTTGAGACGGCCGCATTTGCCCAAAGGGCCCGGCTATGGTGGGCATGGAGGCAGTGTGATACTCAAAGCGACGACGCAGATTGAGAGCTTCCTGGATATTCCGCAGACACTCGGAGAGGTACTGACGGAGTCACAGAGCGGTCGTGACTGGTATAGGTCTCTTAGTGTCTCTTGTGGGTCCATTCCCATGTTCTCATTCCCATTTCCATCTACTTCCATCGAGAGGCCTACCTAGCACATCCTAGCACCATGCGGCCGACCTTGTCGAGTAGATGTAGGGCCATGGTGCCATGGTGCCATCTACTTCCTACCTCTTTGTGTCATACGTAGCGTCATGGGCACCACTGGCGCCGTCCGCACTCTCCAGGAAGGTCACTGCACCCCATGGCGCTGACGGTCACGACACCCGACGAGGTCGTACAGGGGATGATCTCTACTTGCAGGCGATGTCCACGGGCATCCGTGTGGACTCACGGGTTTAAGATGCTTAAAGAGCGTGTCAACCTGAGGCAGGTAAACACCTAAAAAGAAGAGGCACTTTCTTTGGGAACGTATGGAAACATTGTTCTGCAATGAGGATCTGACCTGCACGTCATTGATTCGCGGGATGAAAACAAAGTGTGGGACCAGATATCGTGCACGCTTAGCTGATGTTAAAACCGTTCCTCCTGCTTTTTGATCACAACATGCCAACAGCAAGATATCCTGTAATCATCCTTTAATCACTTTAATCCTCAAAATATATCAAACAGAATCAAACATACAGTATGTATGTATATATAATATATTACATATATGCGCAATCCTCCAACCCCGAGATGGTTGCAGATTAACTCCGTCCATGCAACATCCATCTGACCCAGGTGCCTTTGGGCACCATTGTGCGGGAGCGCATCTTCAGTGGCTACACAACAGAGGAAGGCCGGCGGATCTTCCTGCCGCAGTTCCGCTACCAGTGTCTCGGATGTTTGAAAGGTGAGAGGAACACGAAAGAGCACGGTCAAAGGAGGGGTCTTGGTCAAAACCCAGACACGGAAGAACATGGTTTGGTGGACCACACCGACTGCTTGGTATCAGGAGTTCAAAAGTTTGTCGTGTTCCTTTGGTGGGCCATGAAGTCTGCTTTTGGAGATTGGTGTCCACTGGACGAGCTGAGCATCCTGAGCTCGTTGAGCTCGTTGCCAGCGCCATGTGTTCAGCCCGTAGTTGGACCCTGACCTCTTCCCTTCAACTCATGTCATCTCCTGGATCTAGGACTGAGCTCATGTCATTTGCGTCTCGGTGGATGGATTAAGACTCGGATGGAATCCGGATTCATCTGCATCAGCCGGATGTCCATAGAAATTGGATTTTTGTTGTCTTTTTTCGAGTCGATGATCCGAGAAAAGATGATCCGAGGCTGTCGGCTGTTGACTTCATTTGACGACCTTGTCTCAAGACACCGAGGTTCCTCCGGCACTTGGACACCTATGTTGTGGCCAAGGGCGGCATTGGTGGTATTGGACCCAAGTCCTTTAAGAAAGGCGCAGCGTAACAGCTGGTGGGTGCGGATTTTGGCACCACCGAAAACAGCTGGCGGTTTGGTGCTTGGAACTGTTGATGGAAAAACACACATTTGCTTTGTAGGTTGTGTTTCAAACCCAGCTGATGTTGGCTTTATGCGGGGTGGAATTTGGTTCTGAGATGCAACATCAAGGTGGTAAGTGGCAAGCTGTTTGACTCTTAATGATTGAAACGCATTTCGTGTCACAGAGAGAGAGAGAGAAAGTTTGTGTGCGTATTTTGTGCAGAAGCAATCAGAAGCACACAAAAGTTGTCAATTGGGAAGGCAGCCAAAACATGCCAAAACCAGTTGTAGTGAAATGGATTGGATAAATATATTCCAGAAGAAGATGAAGAAGAGGAAGATCTCGGGCCCCAAAAAGGATCCTCTTGTGGGCAATGTTGGTCACCAAGTATTGAAGGTATCGCTTTGGATCATTGGTGGACATCAAATCCAACTTGATCTTTGTGTAGGCGACATGCGAAGGGGTACTCCTGGGCAAAGGCACCTTGGTGGCATTGGGATTTGGTTTCAAGGAATGAACCCTTCCTAAATGTATCATTGACAAACAGCTAGATCAGTTGTACAGAAAGCTCAAAAGGATTCTATCCTAACTATCATAGAAAGACAGCTGCGAGGCATCGTTAAGCCTTATTCAGCTGCTTCTTCATGAATCTCTACACTCCCTTGAGCACTCATACAAAGCCCCTTTACAGCAGGGTGGTGATCTTCTTCGCATCCTCTATGTTTCATTCCCACATTGTGAATCGCATGTGAAGGAAAACGTTGCTGTTTCAACGATCATGTGAGCCTGCGGATGCTCCAACGGAAGAGTCTGGGAACTCGATTGCCACATCCGGTGAACGGCGGGGGGGGTAGGAAGCTACTAGGAACAAGTGCATCGCTTCTAGAAACAAGTGCCTTACTAGTAGTAACAATAAGCTATTAGGAATAAGTGCATCGCTACGAACGTAACAAGGCTCGATTCGACACCGTCACGGCTCCAGGACACGGCTCGAGCTGGAGCTCCGTGTTTTGAACGACGTGGCATTGCTGGGTTTGCCCAATGCAGGGAAGACCTCCTTGCTGGCGCGGTAGACCGAAGAGAGACCGTGTGACGCCATATGATGACTTGGGACGATCGGTGGCATAAAGACTGGAAAGAAAGAGTACACTTGCTGGTTGGTGCCGCTGGTGCCCATACTTGTTTGTTTGAGCATGTTTGAGCCGAGCTGCTTCTGCAACAGCCTGAGTCTATTAAGTACATATTAAATATTCTCAGTGTCTTTAGACAGTTCGACTATGTTCGACTGGCAACCACATCACATCCGACATCATCCGACCACATGGTTACTCGGAAGGTCCACCTGTTTGGTCTTCGGAACCGTCGTGTGTCGGCTTGGTGCATCCGAGATTTTGGGGCCGGGGCCGTCTTCCATCCACTTCGAGTTCAGGGAGTGTATCTACTGTAACAGTATACCTACATACCTATATATACACACCCAGTTCAATGCTATCTACTGTACCTATATAGCCCAGACACTCCATGGGCCTGCCATAGGACTGCCGAGAAACAGCCAGGGGTGGTGAGTGCACGGAGGGTCTTTGGGGCGGCAGTCCTATTCCAGTCCTTTTAGGTCGTGTTTGGAATCATAAACCGCCATATTTACACCAACTACTGTAATAGTAGACTTACATATACCTATATAACCCAGTTCAATGCTACCTATACTGTACCTATATAGTTCATCCCAGTTCTTCTTCTTTCATCTATCACCACCTTGGGGACTCCAGGCCGCCATGAGCCGAGCTCATACGAGGATTGGACCGGAGGAGTTCAGCACCACCCGGTGCGGCACCGGAGAGAACTGTGTTGGGATATGTCTTTGGCGCGAAGATGACACACCGTTTTCTGATGTTAACAGGGCCCTGTTTGATAGATGTTTTCTGGCCCTGTTTTCTCAACCGACATCCTTACTTTTAGCGGGTTGCTGGTTCAGAAGGTATTTATATATATATATATGTGTGTGTGTGTGTGTGTTTCATGATGTTTCATCTAGGAGAAAGTGCTATCATCAATGACAAGTGGTTTGACGTGTTCATGCACCATGCATCACTTCCCAAATCAAGTAACAACTCCTTCACGGGGATGTGAACGTCATCAGATTCACTAATTATGCAACAGGTGCTAGAAGCGATCCGCTGCTTCTGGAGCCATGTCATTCATCCAGAAGGGGCCATGTGGGCCACATATGAGCCCTTGCCAGGCCACATGTGGGAGTGATTTGCTTCCGTGATCGACTCTTGGCGTATGTGTATGGCGAGGTGTATGATCGACGTTTGCGTCGGAGGGTGTGTATGATTACATGAAACAACATGTGCACATACGGACCTTTCAATGAACAAAGATAGCAAAAGTCCTGCCCAAAGAAACAAAGCAATCCACTGGTACTTCAAGAGGATCTTCTGTGAATTTTGGGGAGATTGCCCTGACAGACAAAACGGGAGGCCGGAATATGCTCGGTACATCTCGGTACTGTTTGATGGACAAATGAAGAGTTGAAGCTTGCAAAGCCGCCTTTTGGTTAGAACTTAAATGACTGGGGAGATGCAGTGTAACCTATCAAAAGGATTGGATGTTGGGTCCTAATATCATATTTGGTCACATTGGTTTGGAAAACCGGCAATTTCAAGAGAGGGAAACATCATGTCACATTTGTGGGTAATCCAGTCCCATATGGGTTCCTTGGGAAGAAAGGAAGGACCGGTTCCCTAGCGGAAAGGGCGCCGGACACATCAAAGCGCGCACGCGTGGCCTCAGCCAGCTTGGGGTGTCACCAAGGAGTTGAAGTGAGAGTCTGCGATTTGCCTGGGCTCAAGCATGGAGCTCACCAGGATTCTTGGTTTCTGTTTGTTGATAAACCAATCCAGAGTGAAAGATGACCGGCAACTGAGGGGGGGAGTTGTAGGGAGTTCGGGCGAACTTCTAGTCTAAATGATCGCCGAAATGTGTGAAGGCATCCGAGAAAGTCGATAGAACTTCGTGAAACCATCAGACTCATCAGACTGGCGCTTTCTCATGTTGAGGTTTGCATGTGTCAGCACGTTTATCGGATGATTTGCCTATCCATCGAGGATCCTACATGGTTCATGCTTTCTTCGAGCTTTCTCACGGGGTGCACCCACGCCATTTGAGCACCTGGTTCCTCCCAGGTGTGGCCCCAAAGACCTGCTTGTACATGTTGTACAGGGTCCTAAGTGGTCTAAAGTGCATGAGTGACGCTGACGCATGTCAGATTGCCATTGAGCATGTGCCCCAACAGATGAAAGGTTCCAAAACCATGAACATCGTATTCCACCTTTTCCGGCATGAAGCGACGGTGGGGTTTGCGGACGCTCGTTCGATCCACGGGCAACGGCAAAGACCTCAGGCCATGGAAGCCCTTCTTCCCCTGCTTGACAGGAAGAGGATGTTTGCTTACGGTTTGGCCGTTGCGGGCGATATTTCATTGCTGGTGGTTTGATTGCTTGGTTTGATGTTGATTCTTAAGACAGAATTGTTTTCCTACCCTTGTTCAACTGTGCGCCCTGTGTTTGAGCTTGAGGACAAATTGATGGGTCGTCGAATTCTGCGGCATACCTACCGCTCGAGAGCACTGGCTTTCGTGGTCAATGTGGCGCGAGGAGAGAAATCGGAGGAGGATGTGCCTTTGCAGCATGCGCTACATCATTTGGCTGTGGGTCAACGCCAGGATACTGGAAGGGGGACTTATGCACTCTCAATCGACGAAAGAACCAATAAAAACCACGGTGAACCGTTCGGTGTTCACCATGTGTTCACCGTGTTTTCCTTGCGCGAGCCGGGCAGATGTGCCGAGTCCAGGTTCTGGAAGAGGTGGAGATGCTGCGCCAGGCCGGATCGAGGTTTCGCTGCGCCGCGCCGCTTTCCCGGCGGGGTGGAACGGGATGGGAAGGATGGGGAAGAGAGAAGCGAGGACTGGAGGACAATCGGAACTGACTTTGTTGCTGAAGCATGCAGGAGCATGGAGTCAGGATGACATCAGTCTTTGTGATTCTACCAGGGTTGGGTGAAACCTTGTACTCTCATGGCGAGCGGAAGAATTTGTACGAGAATTATGCGTGATTAGCGCAGGACATCCGACTCATGGTGCGAGTACCTTAATTTGCAGAAGGCGAAACATGTGCAGAAGGGTTTAGCTGAAGGCAGTTTCAGCAACAGCTAATATGAGCTGCAGGCGGCCTTTGAAGGGTCTTTTGCATAACATGGGAGGTCATGGGAGTTTCATCTGGACCAGTTTCATCTCGAAATCATGAAATCAACATTTGGACCAGTCGGCAAAAGGATGGCTGTCCAGCTTTCTCGAATCCCCGAACATCACGAAGTGTTCTGCGCAGGAAGCAATTCAATTCGATCCTTTGAATGCCGAAAAGCCCTGGATGGTCATTGGAACCAAGTGTGACATGCTTCATCGTGATCCATTGCGCCTTGGCCTTCCCTTTGGCGAACGGAATAGAGGGACTTAGGTGGCTCCTGCTCCTGTTTTCCTGAGTCTTTTTTATGAGGGATCAAGAACAGTATATCATCCCTAGTGTTTGTTTGTTAAGCATGTGCCTTTAGCTTCTCAACCTATTCCGTGGTACCATGCCAACTCTTCATCAACTTATATCCCGGTGCCAACAAGAGCTTGCAAGCTGTAACGCTTCCAGATCAGGGCACTCTGGGGTAGTTGGCAAGATTGCCATAGATTTGCAGCCATGTGTGCATGGTCTCAGGTCTCGTTTCTATATAAACATGTCGCGACAGATCTGGAAAGATACACAAAACAACTTGTGCAATCACGTGAGTCCCCCTCGGGTTTCCCCCCTCGCGGGTTCCCCAAGAAATGTCACGACCTCGGGCGTTCGGTTCACTCGACTCATCCTGGCCTCCCTTCACCGGGTCGAACACTTCGGGTTCCACGAGCCATCTGGGACTGCCATTCTTGGCCGATCAGTTGGGTGGTGAGTGGCTCGGGGGTCTTTCTGGGGCTAAACTTCTTCCAGCCCCACGGAGTCGTGGCGTGTCCTTGGCGGCCGCGAAAGACAACAGTCAACACGGGGGCGCAGAGCTGAGATGCAGTGCTGTGGCAGCTTTGTCAGACCCAGTGTCAGACCCTTCATGGGTTGTTTCCGTAAAATCCGGCATGGCCCAGGTTCCACCGTCGATTGACCAACCATGACCCCACCGAGGTTCCACTTGGACTCGCTCTTCTACCGCCTTCGCGCGCGGTATGAGGATGAAATCCCAGTGGTTGGCACCTCTTCGCGCTTCGGCTTGGGGCTCACGCGATGTGTCAGGCCGGTTGCGGAGGGCGTTTTCTGGAGGGGTGGTTGAAGACCAGCGAAACCGAAGCTGGAAACCTTATCTAACCTTTCCCCCAAAGAAGAACCATGAATCAGATATAATCAGATGGTCCGATGGTCCTTGTTCTTCCTTTGATCATTTACCATTGCGCATGAAGGATGATGCCCCTCACCTCGTCCACTTGCTGGTGCGTTCGCCAAGCTGGCCCCAGCAACTAGATTCCGAAAAGCTCATTTTCAGGAGCTTGGATGAATTCCATTCCCTAACCTTCCAAGACCAAGCGGACCTGGCTTTGTAGAGCAAAATCCTTATATAGTAAAACAGGGTAAGACAATGAGAACTTCTCAAGCACCATTAGACTGTAAATTGATGGTCAGAATCCCTGGGATAAACAGGATGGTTTTAAACATTTGGCTCGGCCGCGGCCGATGGAGTTGGGCTTGTGGGCGGTTTTCGAAGGCCTCATCACCGGTCTCTCCATTCAGAAATCGTTCAAAAGATGTCCTTGACATATTTGCCGTTTATCGATATCGAATGATATTCAATTCTATAATTATATATATCATCAGTTATTATCTATAGTCTATATAATAGTAACAATAATAATGACACTTTGTACTTATATATAGTTGCGAATGAAAGTGCAGCGACACGTACAGTGCAACTTGTACATATATATGTATACCATATGTACTTTGGCTCAAGATCAAGCGACTAGAAAAGGTGCGGTTTCCGTTCCGACGCTACGCCGCTTATGGACCGTCAGTGATAGCTTCAAACTTCGCTGATTAAGATCCACTCGCAGGTTATCAGCCGTACGCGCTCTTTATAGCCGTACGAGCTACACGAGACCAAGAACAAGACTAGTCATTACAGAAACCTGCAATGTCAAGCTCAGGAGGAAATGGAAGCGAACCCTATTCATTCGCTGCTCCTGGTGGTCCCAACACCATTTCGTCACCAGACTCTACAATGGGTACTGATTCATCAGCCAATGCTGACGTTATCACTATGCCTACTGGATCACAAATCTCGGAAAGATCCGTGCCACCGGCTCGGAATCTGACCGATCTTGCACCCGTAGGACCAAGAAGAACGATGAGAACTACAACAAGATCTACATCGCCTATAACGTCTACCGCGAGGTCCCCAAGAAGGAGTATAGAGAGGAGACGTGACGATGATAGAGGAACAAAAGAGCAAAGAAGAGAGATTCAGCTGGGTGAAGAATTGAGATCGGCGAGAAACGCATACAATTTTCTTCATGAAGAATATGAATGCATCCAAGCCGGGTACTCACGACTACACCACGAGGCTGAAGTGGAGTTCAGGCAAATGTCTGACTACAACAGGAAGATGCAGGAACATCTACAGGAGATGACACAGGAAGATGAAGGAGCAACAATAAGAATTGAAGAGCTCGAGCACAAGCTACGTTTGGCGGAATCGACAGCTGAACATATCTACATGAGATATCAAGAGCTTGCACAAGAAACTCATCAAGAACATTCAGAGCTTGAATCTGTGAAAGCCACGAAGGACAGAATGTCCCAAGAGCTTCAAGCAGCAATTGGACACATCCAAGAACAGAATGAATCTTCATTGGCGATCAATAGAAGATCAAAAGCCATTCAGGATGAGAACACAGCCTTCGTCGGAATAGCTGACCAGATACAAGCTAGAATGATTGCGCTACAGGATGAGAATGTCAATATGCACGAGGTGATCCAACACCAGAGAGAAGAACAATGGAATAGTGAGGTCAGGGAAAGACGTCTCCAACACAGTGTTCACTCATCTCAAGATCAGAGCAATCAGGAGGCTATGGTTATTGATCATCTACGAGGTCAACTGGCTATGGCACGTGGAGCTGAACTCAACGCGAGAGCGGAGATAGGAGAGATGGAAGTGGGCATGAGAATGGAGATGTTTGTATGCCAGACTGAAGTCTCTGCTAGAGAAATGGCAGAAAAGAAGGCGAGCCACCATGAATACGAAGCAAACATCGCAAAGGAGGTTATCGCAAAAGGAGAAATATTCAACAACGAAGTCATAGAAAGTTCCATCCGTGAACGACAACAATTGAAAGACGTCAACCTCGCTCTATCCGAAGCCAACGCACAGCTGAAAAGAGAGAATATGATGAGAGCTCCTATGTTCGGCGATGATGGTGCTGAAATTCAACAGAAGATCGGAGAGCTGGAGAATGCACTATTGGAAAGCCAGAAGGAGACAAAGAATGTTATTATGGAAAATGCGAAATTAAAAGCAGAAGCACGAATGGCACCCATAGTCTCTCGGTACAGCAAACGTCCTAGTTCCAGAGACCGCGGGTTACCAACCCACGCGTCCGAGGAAGATGAGATTCGGAACGCAAAAGAGGAGGCGAAATACTACAAGGACGGGTACAATGAAATGACAGAGAGCCGAGATGAGATGTATGAATGGTATGCCGAGACCCACAATGAGTACGCCGAGGAAAGGGAGAAATCAATTGAGCTATCCGAGGCGAACAAATCATTGAGGGATAAGATTTCAGAAACAGAAGCATCCTCTTCATCTCATCTTGCACCGGCAACCTCTACAATCATGAAGGTATCGAGGAAGGAAGAATCAAAGATAAACGTTCCGTCATGGCCCAGGATCAATGATCTTGGACTATGGAAGGCAAATCTTATTCAATCGATCATCATTGCGGCCAATGATTCAGATCAAGAGCCCTGGATCGACTGGATCAAAGAAGCCATGGACGACCCTGATCCGGACAAGTTTGTCGACTCAGGAGACCAAAGATTCCATTCAATCGATGCTAAGCTCGGCCTAGCTCTTACCAAGGTCGTCATGGATGCGAAAGATGATGGTTCAGGTGTAGCTATGAAGTTGAGGACGAGGATCAATGCAAAAGGGAGAACATCAAGCCTCATAAAGGGAAGAGAGGTCCTAGCCCTGATCCTTATGAATTTCAAGACAACATCAAATGTGGAAGTCTTATATACTTCAATGCACCTTTACCAACTAGAATATCAAGGAGACAAGAACTTATCGTTGTTCTTCCACACTTGGGATGAGATTCTGGCAGGGATGAAGCCCGTTGACGTCCCGAGCGACGAAACTCTTCGGGATCTCCTATGGAGAAAGATCAGGAACTCAAACCTCATGGCATACGACATCAGCGCCTACAATAGCATGAACGACGATGATGCCAAGAAGACATACCAACATCTACGTGATATGATCAGAAGGCACATCGAACGGCAAACTGAAGACAGGATGATCCTGGAAAAGGAGAAGGCAGTGAAGAATGTGGCTAATATCTTTCAGAATCTTAAACCAGGCGGACCTGCTCCAAAACTGAAAGCTGCACCAGCTGATCCGAAGAAGAAACCAAAAGGGCAACAAGAACAGGTTGTCTCAGAAGACGCTGCTGCAGTGAAGCCGAAACCCAATCCCAAGAAGCATCCTGAAGACAAGAACAAAAAGGGAAAGGGGAAAGGTAAAGGTGATGGAAAGGATCGCAGCCGAAGTCCGAGTGCAGATAAGAAGAAGATACCATGCAAATTCTTCGTGAAAGGTAACTGCACTATGGGGAAAGATTGCCCATTCAGTCACAAGAAACCCAGATCACCATCCAGAGGACCTTCTGTCGGAAAGAATGACAAGCCAGTATGTTGGATGTGGATTCGAGGAACTTGTGACAAAGGGAAGGATTGCAAGTTCTACCATGACCCAAAAGCCTCTCCTAAGAAAGGGATATCTGCACCAGCTGACTCAGGAGACGATAGGCCAAAGCCCAAGGCAAAGCCCAAACCGAAGCCTAAGGCGAAGCCTGGAGCCCCAGCCATTGACGGTGAACTCTTCATGGACGAATCCGAAGATGAAGGGATTGCTGCATCCGCCAAGGCAAGAGAAGGAGGTGCAAAAGTGTCCTTTGATGAAGAGACTTGTGAAATCATATTGAACGAAGCGATCTACTCAGTCAGGGACAAATGGAAGGTAGTAGAAAAGAAACCTCTACGTCCGGACATCAAACGATACGATGAGAAAGAGCTCACCTGCTACACGAGGAAAGAACAAATCAGATTTGAAGAAAAGGTCGCAGAGGCAAGAGGCATATTGATGGTCCCCTACACTGAGATCAAGAGGATCCGAATACCAGTCGGACCAAAGGGTGACCTAGCGGTCACTATGTCTTTTGACGAAGATGACGGCCTAGTTTTCCATCATAAAATCATTCCTCATGTATGCGAGGGAAAGAAGGATCATGCAGACACAAAGACATTGTCTATTCCAGCCAAAGGGTCAAGAACAAAGTTCATCATGGACACAGGATGTGGGTATGATTTGATATCGAAAGGCAGAGCCAAGAAATTGGGTCTGGAAGTGAGAGAAAGCGACCAATCAATGTCATTCTATACCGCAAATGGAGTGACATCCACAAAGGGAGTCGCCGATATTCATTTCGACGAATTTGACTCTACCTACTCCCCATTCGTCCTAGATGAGTCTCCTTCAGTACTGTCTGTTGGAAAGAAATGCATGGAGGAAGGATACACATTCATATGGCCAGCCTGCGGCAACCCGTATATGGTTTCCCCGGACTACAAGAAGATCATGTTAGAAGTAGAGGGAAACATCCCATATATTGTCAAGGGCAGTGACTTTTGTACTCCCACCGACGATACAAGGGCGGAGATGATCGCAAGGTTCACCCTAGGAGAAGATGAAGCCGATTACCAATCGACTTTCATCAACTGTGATGTGGATCCTCAAGGAATCATGTGTGATAATGACGACCTTCCTGTGGTTGAGCCTCCAAAAGTCAAAAGGCGAAAGAGGAATAAGAAGTTCAAGGCATCTCCTGGAGAAGAAGATGAGGTAGGATCAGATGTCGCCGGTGACAGTGAACCAGAAGCTGACGATGATGATGCAGATGACATCGAGGTGGATGTTGTTGACGGTGCAAGTAGAATGGTGAGAAGAGGAACTCTGAAAG